CCCCATGCCCACCCTGACCTCCACTTGGTTTTGGTCTCCACAGCCTGGCACTTGGGAGGGACTGACCCGCACGCAGCTGCTCGCAAAGACACCCCTGGGCATCTGATACTCTATAAATAACCAAGGCCCAGTGCAGCTGGAGGCAGGACTGGAAACTCAAGGAGCTGGGTGGGGGCTGGAGGGAAGGAGGGTGGACAGGGACAGAGCTGGGGAAGCTGGGCAGCAGTGCCAGGAGGAGAAAGGAAACTGCCCAAACTTATTTTGTGACCTTGAACACCACACGTGACTTACACAGTTCCTTCCTCCATTTCTCCCTTCTTTCCTGCTCCCTATTTGTCCAATGGCGACAGTAGTGCCTGTCTGTTGTTAGAAAGCAGCATCCATAACCAAGAGCTTGAAAAGCAGAGAATGGTAAATGTCCGTCCTGTCACGAGGACCCCAGGACTTCCCAGAGTTGTTTGTCACCCCACTATCGTGAAGCGTTTTCCTTTCACAGTCTCATCTCTCTCTAGAGTCGCCCCCCCCAACCCCCATGTCATGCTTCCCAAACCCCAGTGCTGTTCCCAGAGTCCTTCCGCCTTGAGTCATCCGGCCCTGTGCCCACGATGGGCTCCTGTCACTGTAGGTGGCCTTCAGCACCTGGAGGACAAGCTACTACTTTCTATATATGGTGCTGTTTCCCTCACCCTCGTACCACCAGGGCCTGCTTTCTACCCCCTCTGTCCCCAGTGCTGCACCCCCTCTCCCCTCTCACTTCTTCCCCTACGCTGATCCTTTCTCCTCTCCAGTCTTAAATCTCAGGGTCCCTATGTCTTTTGTGTCTGAGGAAGCACCAGGGATAACTAAACGTTTTATGGCGTGTGGACTCTGCAGGCAATGTGTTCACGTGCTTTTTGCATATTATTTTATTTCCCCCAAATCATCCGAATTGCTTAGGAGCCTTAAAAAAATAAAAATAAAAATAGGATTTTCAAGTTCCTGCGCTGGAGATCTCAGTTTAGTGGATCTAGCAAGGAGCTAGAGAACCTGTTTCGTTATATAATCCCCAATTGTCCTGTTGATTAACAGTCTATGAAGAAGGATGTGCTATTGTCAACTCGGATTTTAAAAGGAGAAAACCGAGGCTTAGAGAGACTAAATAAGCTGCCCAAGATCACACAAGTGTTGAGTGGCTGAGCCGTGGCTCAAAGAGAACAGTCTAACTCAGAGCCCATACTCTTAATTCCAAACTAGACTGCTTCTCTCATTTTCTTTTGTTGGAGCCCTTCCTTCTTGCTCTGCCCTCTCTTTTCCTCAAGATATCAGCAGTTTCCATGGAACTTCTCCAGAACCTCCACGTTTTGCCTGTGTATTTTAGGATCAGTGTCTGAGTATCCGTCACTCACACTGCCCTTGCACTGCCCCCAGTTGCCTCTTCATCTTGCCAGGGAACCCCTTGCTACAGCTCTGGTGTCCCCATACAGGTCTGGCTTTCCTCCAGAGCCCCTTGCTGGGAGTCTGCCTGGCAACTGGTGACGTCACTTGAACTTGATTCTATGATTGGCTATTTTTGGCAGCGCTGCTGTTAAGTTGGCCTGATTCTTCCCCACTCCCTTACCTTGACCGGCCTTGCTGTGGAGTCAGGGCTGCCTCAGATCTGGTCCCAGCACTTGGAGTGTTCTCTGAGGGGACAGAGCTGCATGCCTAACTATGCTCAGTGCCTGCACTGGCTCTGTAGCAGAGAGTGGAGCTTGTCGAGGAATGCGTATCTGGGGCTGGAGCATAGAGTCTGGGCAGAAGATAGATGGTTGGTTAGAGGGTAAAAAATAGGAAGACAGGAAGCCTAGGTTCTTTCTAATAAGAATCTTACCATCCTCTGGAGCTTCCCTGATCCTCATCCAAGGTAGACAAAGCCTGTCTGATCTCTCACCTTTGACCCATAGGCCGAGGCAGATGTGGCCTCCCTGAACCGCCGCATTCAGCTGGTAGAGGAGGAGCTGGACCGGGCGCAGGAGCGCCTCGCTACAGCCCTGCAAAAGCTGGAGGAGGCTGAGAAGGCAGCTGATGAGAGCGAGAGGTGGGCAGGGCGTCCTCAGGGTGGAGCCAGGGAAGGGGGATGCTCTCTCTGCTGGTCCTGACCCCACCCTCACCCCTCTCTCTGCCGCACAGAGGAATGAAGGTCATTGAAAACCGAGCCATGAAGGATGAGGAAAAGATGGAGCTGCAGGAGATGCAGCTGAAGGAGGCCAAGCACATCGCTGAGGATTCAGATCGCAAATATGAGGAGGTGACAGCCCCGCTCCACTTCCTCTCACTCCCACGCTCCACACACCCCTAGTCATTCACCAGGGACCTATGCCTTCTCTCTCCTGCCTCACCTCAGGTGGCCAGGAAGCTGGTGATCCTGGAAGGAGAGCTGGAGCGCTCAGAAGAAAGAGCTGAGGTGGCTGAGAGGTAAGGTGACCCTGGGGTGGGAGTGAAACTCAGCCTGAGCCGGTGACCATGGGCACTCTGCACAGTGGGAAAGCAGTTTCTCAGACTTGGGGCCCTAGGGACAGGTCCTGTCCTCTGACCCCTACCTGCTGCCCCCAGCCGAGCCAGGCAGCTGGAGGAGGAACTTCGAACCATGGACCAGGCCCTCAAGTCCCTGATGGCCTCAGAAGAGGAGGTAGTGACCTCTCTGGACCTTTCTGGGCAATAGCGCCTTCTCTCATCTCACCTTCCCCTCCATCTCAGGCTGCTCTGTCTCATCTGCTGGGGGTCGGGAAGGGCCTGGGGCCTCCAAACACTGCCTGCTGTCACTCTCACAACTTTGCTCTTCTCTTCTCTCCTCCCCCTCCCCCACTGTGCCTCCACTGTCTCCCCCCACTGTGCCCTCACACCCCACCCTGCCACACATCCCCTGCAGTAAATGTGGGGACCTAGAGGAGGAGCTGAAAATTGTTACCAACAACTTGAAATCCCTGGAAGCCCAAGCAGACAAGGTAGAGGGGGGCAGAGGGGCAGTGAGGATGGGGTCCTGCAGGGGAGGGAGGCGATGGGCCCAGGCAGGGTGGGGCTGGATGGTCCATGGAGACAAGATCATGAGTAGCCTGCGGGGCCCAGGAGAAATGAAGGATGTGTGGAGGCAATCTACTAATGGCATGTGTATGTCCCTAAAAGTATTCCACCAAAGAAGATAAATATGAAGAGGAGATCAAACTGCTGGAGGAGAAGCTAAAAGAGGTGAGCGTCCTTCCAGTCCCCACCCTCCCATCAAGCCCCACAGTCCCTAGCAGAGACTGCCTGTAGCGGGGAGTCTGGAGACTGGGATAGAGGAAAAGGCTGACTTAAGTGATAGTGTCTGGGAGGGCCTCATTTTGGGGTCATTTCCGCATCTTGCCTTTGCTCCCAGGCTGAGACCCGAGCAGAGTTTGCCGAAAGGTCTGTGGCGAAGCTGGAGAAAACCATCGATGACCTGGAAGGTAAAGGAGGCCGCCCCTCCACCCCCAAACCGCACTCCCTGTGACTGTGAGCTCACCCCTTTTCCTCAAATCCCATTGTACAGTATCTGTGACCGATAAACTAGGGCTGTACCACCTAAGACTCCACACACTCTGGAGCTCAGTGCCTGCCGTTTAAGTCCCCGTAACCAGCGACACCTCCAGTGCTTCTTAAACTTGAGCGTCCCCCAGAGGTTTTAAAAGGCAGATTTCTGGGTCCTGCTCCGAAATGACTGCTGCCTTTGGGCTGGAGAATCTGTACGTCTAACAAGCTCTCTGTTAAAGCAGACGCTGCTGCTCGGTCCTCGGACCACAATGAGTAGCACTGATTTAGACAAGTCTGTCTCCAAGTGCAACACAGGGGAGCCATATCACAGAGACTTCTTTGTGACCTAGAGAGCTATTTGGTTTAACATCTAGGTTTGCAAGACAACATTGATGTAAAGTACTATTTTAAGCTAGATTTGGGGTAAACAGTCATGCAGGTATTTGCTAGTCTATGGCCATTTCCCACGGTCACCAACATCGTGCCTAGGACTGACTTTCCTTCCGATGGTACGATAACCCTTCACTTTCATAATTCCGGTTTCCCTCGTGTCCAGCCTTCTCAGGCAAGCCTCTGTTTTATCTCCAACTTTGTAAGACTTTAGGTCTTTCTGGCTTGAACTCTTCACTTGAAGCGAGCACTCCTGCTTGTCAAAAAGCACTGTGCCCCCAGGTCCCCAGAGGAGGCAGCAACTCCTGGCAGAAGAACCAATTTAGGGTACAGAGAAGGACAAGAGAGACAGGGGTACAGAGAAGGGAGGAGGGAGCCCTGAGGACTGACTAGCCTGCTCTCTGGCCTCTGTCTCTCACTCGTCTTTGCCCACCTCTCTCTGATTCTTGTTCTCTCTTTCCATTATCCTCTCTCCTGCCTTTCCTCTTCCCCTCTATTCCCTCTCCCCACACTCCCATCCATCCCTGGACCCCCTCCAGACGAAGTCTATGCGCAGAAGATGAAGTACAAGGCCATCAGCGAGGAGCTGGACAACGCACTCAATGACATCACCTCTCTCTGAGCCCCTCACCAGTGTGGCCCCCTCGGCCCCTTCTCTCCTCTCCTTTCTATTCTCTCTCTGAGGATGGATCAGGCAGGAGGAGAAAAGTTGCCAACACTGCATAGCCAGGCTGGGCGCAGCCTGGGAGAGCACCCATCACACGTGCTGCCCACCCTGGCACTTGCTTCTTCCTTCTACCCATCACTCCACCCTCCACCCTCCGGCCTCTACCTCTCTCTGCTGCTTAATAAACTCAACTTGGTCTCCGTGCTGTTTTCCTGTCCTCCAGAGAGCACTTCCTTCCTTTTCCCCCACAAGAGCACTGCTGAGACCTTGGCTCTTACAGACACCCCAATCTTGTGACACCCACAAAGCTCTGTGGCCCACACCAAGATCCCCTCTGCATGGCACGCACAGTCTGTCACTGTCACTGCTGCATGTGGGCATGGTATGACTCCGTCCATCACCCTGCGCTCCCGGTGCCTCTGCAGACCCAGGCCTGTCACTGACCTTGGAGCGCTGAGCTGGGCTTCCAGGATCTCAAGGAATGACCGGAAGGGAGATGGGGTGGGAAGGGGAGAGGAGTGGTAAGAAGGTTGTCAAAGGTCTGAGATGAAGTTTGGAAAAACGTTGGATGCCAGCAACGTGGGTTTTTCACTGCAGGTCTGTTTTCTGCCTTAAGTCTGTCTGTCTGTCTATCCCTCTCTTTCCTGGCTCAGTCTTTGTCCTTCCTTCTGTTTCCAACTCTCTTAAAGCTTCTCAAGAAGAATGGTAAATTAGTTTATGACTTAGGCCTTCCCATCCCACCTCCATGACCCCAGAGTCTTGAGTGAGGCATCCATGTCTGTCCTGGTCAGTTCATCCATTTGCCCCTACCATGGGGTCCCCAATCCCTGAATGCTGTGTCTTCATGTGCCTCCAACCCACTCCATGTCTGTTTGTCACACCCCCTGTCCATGCCTCCCCACGTCTGTCCCCTAGTGTCTCCCCTCCCCCTCCTCATGTGCTGCTTCCTCTCACAGAGACCTTGGCCAGTGCCAAGGAGGAGAACGTGGAGATTCACCAGACCCTCGACCAGACCCTGCTGGAACTCAACAACCTGTGAGGGTTGGCCCTGCCTCCAGCCAGGCTATAGTTGCCGCCCCAACCCAATAAAACTGACGTTACTGGCATTACAGGGCCCTCTCAGCCTTTCTTTGGTGTTGGCAATGGTGGTGGTAGTTTTCCAACGTGGAGAAGGCTGAGATGATGCCTGAGGGGAGCAATGGAGTCAGAAGGGCCCCTGAGGAGCAGGGCCTGGGTCTATGCTCTATGACGAGACTTCCTTTTTGATGGTAGCGGGGGGGTGGGGGGGGGGGCGCTCATTTAGGAGGGGTGGTGAACAGGCTGTGTAGAGCAGAGAGGCCCAGAGGGCTGGGGTTACATTCTGGCCTTGACTCCCCAAAGGGCAAAGGAGCTGCTGTCAGCACCACTGCCCCATTCCAGCAGGTGCCTGAGCCAGGCAACATAAGCTGAAGACAAAACTGCAAAGCTACACAGAATTTACTTGAGCAGGAGAAAGCCCCAAAGCCTCAATGTGATTTTAAGCCTAGACGCAGCCTGCCCTACTCCCAGTTACATACACTGGTCTACATACACATACATGCGCGCGCGCGCACACACACACACACACACACACACACACACGACCATTTCAACAATCTCAATAATTTCTGCCCCCTTCCTGATAGCAGATGACCCCCCACCACCACCACCAAAGATGTTCACACCCTAATCTTGTGAAATGTGACTTTGCATGGGAAAGGGACCTTGTGAGTCAGCTAAGATGTTTGAGATGGGGCGGTCATCCTGGGTTATCTGAATAGGCCCCATGTAACCACCAGGGTCCTTAGAAGAGGGAGGCAAAAAGGTCAAAAGTGGATGCGGGAGATGTGACAATGGAGCAAAGTGATGCAGGGGCCACAAGCCAAGGAATGTGTGGCTTCCAGAAGCTGAAAAGGGCAGGGAAACACTCTCTGATCAATGCCCAGGCCTGCCAACACCTGGACTTTAGCCCTTAAAATTCATTTTGGACTTCTCACCTCCAGAAGTCTAAGTGAATAAATTCACATTGCCATTGAGATGGTGATAATTTGTTATAGCAGCAGTAGGAAATAGACACACTATCCTGATTTAGGGAACAAAGCTACCTTCCACATATTTTATTAGAAACATTTATTTAAAAAAAATCTTTGGTCACTAAAAAGGAAGTGGTGTAATAGGCAGGACAGACCCAAGTCTCCAGCTCCCCTCAGATTCCTCTGGCTGGCTTCTCGGCACATTCTCCAAGTTCCAGGCCTCTAGGCCACAGTCTCGGTGACCTCTGCTGGATGGTAGCTAACGGTCCCTTTGGTCCCACTTGGATGTCTACACGACAGGGAAGCCTAATCAGAAAACTGGCCCAGGACCAGCTCATTTGTGCAATTTGCATGAAGCTGTTCTGGACTCCACACAGGAAGTGGGGGTTGTGCCGGAGGGACAGGGTCAGTACAATACATACTTTTGCTGCCTTCTCATTTGCACAAGAAAGGCGAGGCTGGTCACAGCAAAGAGAATGCCAAAAACCAGGGCCAGGATGTCACCTGTAGGGAGAGGAGAGACTGCCTCAGGGTGTGAGAGCCAGTAGGGTCCCCTCAGGGCCTACTTCCCTGTGCCTGTATCCCCAACCCAGCCCTAAATTCTCCAGCTGCCCCCAGCATATCAGAATCTAGAAGAGACCAGCAAAGGGATGGAGATGAATGGGGAAAATAAGCACCTTTTTTTCCTCCCTAAAAATAAAGTAAAAGAGGTCATTTGGGAAAAAGACATGCTAGATTTTTGAACAACGCTTGCCGTGGGGGACAGTAAAGGACCCCCCACCATGATCTGACTCTATCCTGTTGGGTTTGGAGGTCTGTTCTGCAGAAAAGGAAGGGCAGTAGACTGTGGTCCTGACTAGTCCCTGGGACTAAACTGTGCCCAGGGTCGTCCCCAGCGTCAGGAGCCAGAGGAGAGGCGCAGACTCACCAGCAGCGAGGCAGGAGTTCAGGTGGACTGAAGAGAAAAGGGAGACATTAGAGCCGGGGCTGTGACCACCAGTGACGGACAAATGAGGGCACAGGGGAGGACGCGAGACCTGGGCTGGGCAGCAGTGACACGGGGTACCAGACAAAGCCGCACCTGGCTGAACAGTCTCAACAGTCCGCTCCGCTCCAGGAGGGAAGGAGGCCTCGATCGTTCGCCCATTCAGAGGCTGCGTGGCTCGGAAGTTCAGCTGTAGCCGAGAGCCCTCAGCTCCCCACAGGGAGTCAGAGAGGGTGTGGAGCTATGGAGGTCATTAGGCAGTGGAAGGAGGGCCCAAGACAAGGAAGCAGATCAGAGGCCTATTCACAGACAGTACCTCAGGTCTCCACCCTCCATGCCCCTTCTCTCTCCCACACCGCCCTTTCATTATGCCTCCTCTTTCTATACCCCTCCCCCAAAACCCCTACGTGTTCCAGCCCCACCTGCTTAGCACTCAGTCTCACTGTCTGGTTGAAAACAGTCCAGATGACCCCTTGGGCACAGGGGGGTGTGGTCAGAGACCCCTCATATCGGAAGTAGCGGCTGAGATCCGAGGGCAGCAGTGCAGATACGTCCAGTCCTGGCACCCAAGTCTCTGAGTCTGCGGAGAGGACCTGTGCTGGAAGCTCACCTAGACGGCCCCCCTCCAAAGCTCTGGGTATAGGGATAGGGATACAGTTTCATATCGCGGAAGCCACGGTGACTCAGTTCCCTGAGACCACTTCTTCACTAAGGGCATCCCTTCCCCAAACTCAGCACAAGACAACTCAGGAGCAAGCGAAGGGCTCTGGAGCCGCGCAGAGGGAGAGAATTGCGCCGTAGTTGCTCCCTCTGAGTCTTCATTCTCACTTTGCCTACTACGGTACATGCTGGACCACACAGTGAAGCTCAGAGAACATAAAAAAAGGAAAATGAGCTGAATAACTTCTAATCTAAATAAATATAAATAACCATAAAAAAACACACACACAACACACAAAAACTGAAAAAGCACAGCTCCTTGTATTTTAGCAAAACTTAACATCCAGCTGGGTGAGATTCAAAATGACCCAGAATGACTGAGAAGAAAAAGATTTCCAACAAAAGTATTTACATATTTAAAATATGTGATGCTCGCCCGGCCGGCAAGGCTCAGTGGTTGAGCATTGACCTATGAACCAGGAGGAGGTCAAGGTTCAATTCCTGGTCAGGGCACATGCCCAGGTTTTAGGCTCGACCCCCAGTGTGGGGCGTGCAGGAGGCAGCCGATCAATGATTCTCTCTCATCATTGATGTTTCTATCTCTCTCTCTCCCTCTCCCTTCCTCTTTGACTTCCATAGCTCCACACCATCTCTGGCTCCCCGTGGGGACCTGAGGACTCTTGGCTACAAATGAACTTCCAAGCCACGCAGCCTTTCAATAAAAAATAATAAATAAAAAAATATAAAAATATGTGATGCTTATGAAGAATAGATAGTTCTCAGGAAAATTTGAGCTCCCCAGACTCAACTCCAGAAGTTCCAAACACATTTTTGTTTTTGGTCTTATTTGGTTTTTGCCTTATTTTGGTTTTTTATTCGGTGTTTGGTTTTAAACCATAAAACCTGTGGGCGGAAGTTTGCTTTTGCGTGTTTGCCTCTGTTCAGCTTCATAGCTATTATCAAGATCATAGTCGTCCAGCTCACACATCAACCCTCTGCCTGTGGGAGAGACCCCATCTGCATACCTTCCTCGGCGACTTCTTCCAAATGAGACAGCAGCTGCTCATAGGCGCTGTTTTCTTCTGGGCCTTCCTAGGAGATGACAGTGCAGGAAGGTAATACATGCATCTGGGCCATGGCTAGCGGCCTGAAGGTGAGGTGGGGTTCCCAGAGTGTTGCTGGGGGAAACACAAAATCTTATGCATTATTACTCAGAGTTGACTTACTCTGCGAACTAACCCAACAAGCGCTGCAGGCTAGTGTGCGATAGCAAATCGGAGGAGGAGGTGGAGGAGGGTGGGTCACTAAGACACAAGGCCTTCATGACCTGGGCCCCACTCCTGAAAACCATAATGACCTTTGTCCTCATGTTACCTCTGCATTCACCTTAATAATTCATGTGATTGACTTGGAGCAAGGACGTGTTCTTTCCGAGGCACTTCTCTGAACTTTGTACTTTGAGGTTGGCCTTCAGGAGTCAGTTAGGGTGTGAATGACCTAGCACGTGTCTCAACGTCTCTTCATTTACCAGCTTCCTCTAATCACTGTGTGTGTAGCCTTACTCATTACAGGTCCAAAGAAAAGAGGCCACTGAATGTTCCTCTAGACTTGATTGCATTTCACAAAGGGGGTATTATTGTTATCGGGGCATTAAAGAAATCACTCCTCTTGATGTCCCCTTTATTGCATCTGTCATCCCCTGAGTGGGCCATATTCTGAGTCTTTGCACATACCATTTGCTCTGCATGAACATCTTTTCTTTCCCACTAGTGAAGTCTTCACGTTTCACCTCCTCCGAGAAGCCTTCCTGACCACCTCTTTTACTCTGTCCTTGGTGTATGTCTACCTGTGGGCCGCCGTCACTGGCTGTGGACTCATAGAGACAAGGACCCACGGTTTCGAATCCTTTGTTAGGCCCAGTGCCTCCCTCACAGTGGCGTTGAATGAATGAACTAATGAGTGAATGAGGATAAGCAGGTGCCAGGGTGAGTGTGCTGGGATGGGGCAAATACACTGAGCCTGGGGGCTTGGGGAGGACGGTGTGGGGGACGTCCAGGGCTCGTACCTGCAGAAAGGCGGCCAGCACGGCCAGGCCCCCTGGGCGCCCCAAGGCCTCCTCAACTTTGGCAAATGCAGTGCTGAGGTGAACCACGTGGATCTGGAGAGGACAGGAGGACAGGTGGTAGGAATGGGCAAGATCCGCTCGCCAGCGCCCCCCTTCGCCCCGCTGCAGACAGCTGCACGCTCACCTCGGCAGGGAAACGGTGGCCGCCAACCGTGTGCTCCGAGCCGGGGCGACCCGCAGACCCCCAGTGCAGATGCAACTGCAGGGCCCGGTACTCCCGCCCGGGACCCAGGGCCATCTCCAGCCCGGGAGGCAGAGTCAGCTGCACTGCGAGGGAGAGCCGGTGAGCCGGTGAGTGGGCTCGGCGCCCCGAGAGCCAGCCTCGTCCCCCAGCACAGCAGGGACTGTGCCCAGGAACCAGGGAGCCCCGCCCCTTCCCTAAGGCTCCGCCCCGGGCCGCCTCACCGGTGTGGCCATTGTTTCGGAGGCGCAGTTCGGGGAGAGGCGGGAGCTCAAAGCCTAGGAGTTCCAGGGGTCCCAGGGCGGGGCAAAAAGCCGTGTGCTCCGGGCGGATGTCCACCGGGGACTGGAAGCGGCCGGCGCAGGTTGGGGACACCTGGGGCCAGGGCGGGTCGCCTGTGGTAGGAGTATGAACAGGAGTCTAGTGATAAGATCAGGAACTTTGAGGGAAGCGGGATAGAAAAAGTGAGGAGGTGGAGTCTGAAGACACTGGGGCGGGAAATAGAAATCGGACAGATGTGGATGCGGTGCGTGGGACGCCCAGGACTAGATTATGGTTGGGGGTCAGATCAGCAGGCGTGGGTGCCCAGATTGGGGCTGTGCGGGCGGGGCGGTTGTCTCACCTCCATAGCGCCAATGACTGTGGTCATCCCCTGCATGAATGAGAAGGGTTAGGAGTGCGATCTTTGAGCCCAGACCCTCCCCGCTGGCCAGAACGAGGTGGGGGGCCCCCTCACTAGCCGGGCTTCACAAACCCAGACGCCTTACAGAGGCACAGCAGGGAACAGAAATGCCTAAAGCTGAGATCCTAAGGGCCCTCCAGTTTGCAGCCACTGTGTTAGTAAAATGGGGGGGAGGGGGGGGAAGGCCTCAGTCCCAGGCCCAAATCAGTAGAGCATCTTTCCTTTCTCCCTTACCTGTCCCTCCTCCCCACTCATCCCCCTTCCCTTTCTGGTCTCCAACTCTTTTCCGGAAATTCCTGGCTTGGGAGTCAAGGTGCCAGGGCCCCTACTGGCTACTTCCTTCTTCCCAGGTCTGTTTCCTCACCTGCAAACTGAGGATGAGGTGACCTCCACAAGCCCTCCTGCGCTTCCCCCGGAGCCCCCCTCTTTCCTCTTCGCTCCCCTCATACGCTTACTCCTCCCTACCTACATTTTCTCTCTTTTCATGTTTCTAGTATCTTTCTCCTCTCCAACCTTCCCCTTTCGTTCCCACCTCTTCCTACTATCTCTTTCCATCTGTGCCTCATTCCTGTCTCCCCACCATCCCCTTTTAGCTCTGAAAGGGGAAAGGGTCTGGTATCACCGGAACCCTGGGGTTGGGAAAGGCCACTGTTGGCGAACAGGCTCCTCTCCCCTGAACAACCCCTGCCTGGGCGGGAGTTTGGGGAAAGGAAGCACACGCCTCCTGGAGCCTAGATTTGGAGGGCTGACGACCACTTACCTTTGTTGTTCCTGTGAGTGTCCCCGGGAGCCGTAGTGGGTAGATCCTCTACCTTCAGAGAGTCCTCTTCTGCTTCAGTCTTCACTCCAGGCGTGTCCTCCTCTCCAGGCAGATCCTCTTCACTGGGCAGGTCCTCCTCGCCCAGTGGATCATCTTCCCCAGATGAATCTCCTCCCATGGAGGGAGTCCCCTGCATCCGGGATAGGCGCTGGGGATGGGTAGGTACCAAGAGCAGCAGTAACAGCAGCAGCTGCACAGTGGGGCCTGGAGCAGGAGCTGAGATCTGCAGAGGGAGCCAGGGACTGGGGCCCAGGGGAGCCATGTGGCTGACTGTACGGTGTCCCAGACACGGTGTGTACGGGGTGTACGTGCATTGGAAACAGGAGCTGGGTGGGGGAGGAGCAAGCCTGGAGGGGAGCAGGCTGACTCACAGAGTTCCCTTTTGTAGAGATGGAGCCAAAGTCCCTCGGTTCTGCCTGGCCCTGTGCCCCCTCCTCCATACCATAGCCCGGATTGGGGTGGAGTGAGGGCAGGTGTGTGCGTAGGCACAAGGTTATCGGGGTCATGGTGTAAGCCTGGAACTTAAGGCACCACCTGGCACTGCGCAGGCTTCCCTGGCACCACCAGGCTGCCTGCCAGCCAGCCTCAGCTAACCCTGGCCTGCCTCCCAGCCCCAAGCAGGGAAGGGGAAAGACAGCGAGAGGGGAGCAGACCATGTGTGCATCCCCTGCCCAGCCAGGGAGCTGGTGAAGGGGTAGGCCAAGCTGCCGCAGGAGCTCTGGGAGGGGGGTGGATGGGTAGGTGGGGGGTTAATTTGAGTATGAATGGAAAACTGAGTATATGTATGAGAGGGACTCTGATGGGTGTAAAGTAAATTTGGTTTTCATCATATTACACTTCTGCTCAAAAACTTTCATTGCCTTCCTACGGTCTATCAAAGTATCTTCCATCTGCCCATCTTCTCTCTCTAGTTGACTTCCACATCCCTGCAAAATCTTACCCAAGATACCTTCCCATCTCATCTCTTCCTACTGTCCCTCATATTCCAGCCAAATTAAACCATTCATTTTTTCCCCAAATGACCGCCTTCCTTCATATAGTTCTCACTACTGGGAATGCCTGCCATTCACGCTTTTAAAAATTTTTTTAATTGATTTTTAAAAAATATGTCATTGACTTTTTAGAGAGAGAGGAAGGGAGATAGAACCATCCACGAGAGAGAATCATTGATCGGCTATCTCCTGTATGCCCCTTATTGGGAATCAAGCCCACAACCCAGGCATGTGCCCTGACTGGGAATCAAACCGGCAACCTTCAAGTGCACCGGGAGACGCTCAAACAACTGAGCCACACAGGCCAGGGCAGCCATTCACTCTTATCGGTAACAAATATTGATTTAGCATATAACATATGTCAGGCACTGGGCTAGAAGTGTGACTAAGATGCAGCTGCTGTCCTGAGGAGCTCATGTCCAGGGAGTGAGAGCAAACACTACCACAAGATTTAGGGGAGAGAGTTGGTTCTGCCTCAGAAGGTAATGCAGAAGCAGGAAGATTCGGTCAGGGCTGTGAAGAAGTAGAAGTTCAATTCGGTAATAACGATGGGGAGGATGGTATTCTGGGAAAAGGGGAGGCATCAAATATTTTGGGAGAATGACAGAATGCAATTCCCATATTAGGTCATGTTGAGGACTGGAGCATGGATTGGAGGGGGAGAGTGGGTGCTAGGAGACAAATGAGAGGACCCCAATATGGGCTTGGGGTTCCCAGTCTCTGCCTACTCATTTAACGAACATTTATTGACCCTCCTCCAATCCTCCAGGTACTGTTCTAGGCCCTAGGGATACAGCATTGGACTGGAAACAGCCTCTACTGTTCTGTAGCTCACACTGTAGTAAGGCCCCTATGGCTTCAACAAAGCAAATCAGAGTAAGGCCATCACAGGAGGTTGATATCTGAAATTAACATTCAGTAGGTATTGTGCATCTGTGTGATTGTAAAAGGTAATTAAATATTTTGAAATATTTCTGATTCTGTTGGTAACTAGCCCCTCACTCCAGAGTGCTCCTGCTACCCCAGCTCCTTCTTGGGGACTCTCCCAACCCCCTCATGACCTCTTATCACAGCAGGGCTCCAGAACCCACTAGAATGCCTGAGCCAGCTTCCACTCAGATGAATCAGTGTTTGTGCACACACTACCATGTTAAATAGTTTTACTATCTCCCCTGTCTAAATCCCTTCTATTATTCAAGGCTCAGCTCAAAGGCCACTTCTTCCAGGAAGTCTTTCTTGATTAACTCTGCACTAAAGGAAGAGATTTCTGGTGCCTCAGCCACCACAGTGCTTTGCCTGCCCTCGCTAATAACCTTGCCCACCATCTTATTCATATTAAGATGATTTATGATGCTTTATCTGTTCTAATACCTTAGCTCCATAAAGGCAGGGTTCAGTATTTGATTGATTGAGTCATTCTTTTATTCAATAGTCATTATTGAGCATTTTTCTCTCTGTAGATCACCTTGCCTGGACTTGAGAAAACCAAATTGACTAAGCTGACTTCCTTGCCCTCAGGGAAAGGAGCTCTTCGTCAATAACCTGTGCATGTTGAACCGCAACTGTTCCAGGAACATAATACCACATTTTTTTTTTTAATTTTGAAAGGCATTTTGGGGGTCAGAGGAGATTAGCTAAAGGAGCTAAGTTCTATGGTCTTAAGTCTAAGGCCTTAGGTTCTCCTCGTCCCCAGGACCCCATGCTTTTTATGATACCACATTTTTATGGCACCCCATTTTATGCCTTGTCAGAGTGACTGCTATACTGTATACCGAAAGCTTACATGGCTGAACAACAGCTGTTCTTGAAGCAGTCATTTTAGAAAGTAATTAGTCTAACCATCTAGATTGCCATTTCTGGAGCCAAATTAAGAGCCCTCCATCGATGGCAGTTTGATCCAGTGTGCACATTGGATGGTCACCTCATTGACTTGGTCAGCTGTGTTGTCAGCACCCTGGTTGGCCCCTGAAACATGGAAGGTCCATGGGAATATCTAAATCGAATGGACCTGGACAAGATGGAGTGTGGAAACAAGTAATCTAGTTGAGGCGGAGAGGTTCTGGGAAGCACAGGAGACAGAAACACCACGCTAACTGGAGTCTGGGGTCCTTATGTCCGGACATCTTTCTTCAACACTAACCCCCGCTCTATTTCATTTTCCCTCTTTCCAAATAGTCTGAATGTTTCCATCTTTTTCCTTTTTAGGTCTCTGTCAGGATCTCTTTGCATATTTCTCTGTGCCATTCTGTGTGTCCACACACCTCCCTGCCCTCTCTGCTGCTCTCTCTCAGTAGTTCAGAGTCCAGAGCTGTGTCCAGGTGCAGATCTCTCTTTGTTATAGCTCCCTGACTTCCCAAATGCCATTCTGCATGGTGCTGCCTCTCTCTTGGGTTCTCTGTCTCTGTGTGTGACTGTGTCTTTGGTCTGGGTGGGGAATGTGGACTGTGACCTGGGATCGTACCTTCCCAGCTGGGAGTCTGCCAAACTCCAAAACAGGTTTGAGCTCCCAGAGTCTTGTTCCCTGAGCCTCCCCAGGTTGGGACAGAGTGTACTCAGGACTGATCGACTGAGCCCCCCCCGCCCCACCTGGTGCACAACCTTAGTTAAGGCCAAGTCTTCGGTCATTAAGGTCTGTTCGCAAGGAGGGAGCTATTCGCTGGTGAGGAGGAGAAAAAGCCTCCCACTCCCCGGCCATGGATTAGAAGCAGAGACAGATCAAAGGCCTTCTGGGGCCTTGAGGCCGACCTGTAGTTCTGGCCGACCTCATCATCTGTGTGATTTCATAGGACTTCTGTGACAAACTACCACCAACTGGGGGGCTCAGAACAACAGAATTTTTCTCTCTCGGGAAGCCAGAAATCCGAAATCAAAGTGTTGGCAGGGCCCTGCTCCTTCTGAAAGCTTTAGAGCCTCTTCTAGCTTCTGGGGCTCCAGGAATTCCGTGGCCTGCGGCTGCATAACTCCAATCACTGCCTTCAACTTCACAGGGCCTTCTCCCTGTCTCCCCACTGGTGCCTCTTTTAGGAACACGTCAATGGCTAGGGTCCACCAAGGTAACCCAGAATGATCGTATTTCAAGATTTTTAGCTTAATTACATCTGCAAAGACCCCTTTTTCAAATAAGTTCATCATCACAGGCTGCTGGGGTTAGGGTGTGGACATATCTTTATGGGGACCACCATTTAGCCCACTATGACATTAGCCATTTAGAACTGATATTAGCCATTTTTAGCACAGGATGAGAAGAAATGGGTTGGTGTTGGAAAGTCTCATGCCTTCTGCCCTCATCCCTCTTCATAGTCTTTGTAGGCAGTTTCCTCCACTTCCATGGTTTCTACAAGGTCATGACAGACAAGTATCCCGGGGTTGGACTCTCTTCTCCACATCAGATCCATAAGCACCTGCCTAATTAACATCCTACATCCTTGGTGATATTATTGAGTTGCTGGATTAAGCTAACCCTACCTGCATCTGGACTTTTCAGTTGCATAAGCTAATAAAATATCTTATCGTTTAGCCACTTTGAGTTTACTATTACTTATGACATAGTCTTGCTGGTATAAATTCCCTCCATGGCTTGGCCTCTCTCCAGTCTCCTTTTTCATCACTCTCTCCTTTGCAATCTATGCTCTAATCTTACTGAACTTCTAGCAGTTCCTTGAATGCACTGTGTGTGTGTTATCTCCAAACTTGGTTCATGCTGTTTGTCTCTCTCACCTCTACTCTACTGCCAACCCTGCCCCACCAGGTTTTGCTCATCCTTCAGGTATCAATTCACATTGTTACTTCCTCCAAGGAGCCTTCCCTGACTCCTAGATGGGGTCACTCCTGCCTGCATAAAAGCCTATACATCTTTTGTAATGTTTATCCCACTTTATGGCGACTCCTTATCATGTCTGCCATGCTAGACTATCAGCATCAATAACAGCAGAGGCCGTATTTCATTATCCATTGTTTCATCTCCATGCCTAGCACAGGATGTGGCATATAAGAGGCATTTAATTCTTGTGGAATAACTGATAATTATTGTTCAAAGCATCACTAGGGCTTCTCCAGCATCCAGTGAGTTGAAAGCAGAGGCTGAGGGTAATTAAAGAATAGAGAGGTGGTGGCTGCCTTCTGACCTTCTCCCACTGGTCCTGCCTTCCTTTGGCTTTGGGCATTGAGTTGGGAGTAGAGAGTCTGTCTGTTCCAGGTAGACTATGGGGTGTGCCTGACTTGCTCTGGGGGAGACGTGGTCTCCAGGAAATCAGTTGTCTCTCATTATACTCAGTGTGTCTTCTCGACATTTCCCTCTTCTTCCTCCCCAGTCTGAGCTCACAGTCGGTTCTATAAAGCACCCTCACACACTGGCAGCACACCCAAACGCACCCACCACCAC